TGTACTTCGTTTACTTTTAAACCTGCCCCCCCCCCCCTTGCCACAGTGCTATGTTTGCGGATTTCTACTACTAGAAACCGGGTTTCGATAACCGTGGTGGGCAGAGAAGAGATAGCCCTTTGTGTTTTTTTGTGCTTAATAACAAACAACAACAAACACTTTTAAACCGATGATATATAATGATTACACTACTTAGTTATTCTAAAGTCCATTAAAAATAATCACATAATTTATGATCGTGGGATGATATACTTCCACAAATCAGTTTTTTTGTTTTTCAGAAGCTCCTAAAAACTATAGGGATATCTGTTTCTATCGTAGATTCCATTCTAAAACATGAACAAAATAGAGAGTTGATTCGTCTGTATAGCGGAACATATAAGCCACAAATAGAGAACTCACCGACAAGGCTCAAAATGTTTGTTTTTCGGGTTTCCATAAATTCGAACGGTTACATGGAACCGATCATGAACTTTGGATTCAAAAGTATCGGTTTCATGTCTTCCTTCATGACTTTCCAAACTTTTATTGTGAAATTGGATATTTTGTTAAAGCCTTGGCCTCATCCACACAAAGGCGTCCGCAAGGGGGAAGCAAGAGGGGGCACTTTTCCCACCTGGAAAATAAGAAACATAATTCTTTCTTTATTAATTCATCATATGTATATGGATTTTTTTATTCAATTCACAATTTCACACTACTTGCCCCCCTACCCCCACTGGAAGAATTGCTACGGACGCCCATGCATCCAGATGACCATGATCTCAGAGAAGTTTCAAATGCGAGAACTGTGGGGAAAATTCCAAGAGGTCGTCCACTCTGTCCACACCTGATGATACGCTTGTAAGCACTGTGGAAAACGGTTCCAACTGAGGTCGGACATGAAGAAACATATTTACATCTAAATAGATCAGGGACCGATTACTAGAAATTCCTTATTAAAGAAGATTTCTGAACGAAATAAATGGACTGCACTCATATATATTCTATCGTTCATATACTTTAATTACAAACGTTTTTTTTATGTTTGTTTGGAATTAAGCACAAAGCTACACAATGGGCTATCTGTGCTCTTCCCACCACGGGTATCGAAACCCAGAATTACAAACATTGCCATACCTTTTTGTATAAATTCAACTTGAACCCTTTATAAGTTTTAGATATGGGTATTTCTTTTTTATATATTTATATGGCTTTTAAAAAGCTTCCACAAAGTTCTATATATATACGTTTTTGTCAAAAAAATGAATAAACGTGGATATATTTCAAGGAATTGTTTTCTTATCGTTTTTTCTTCTTCTGTCAGTGGCACGCTGAATTCCTTATCGACATTTTTAACCATGCAGAAATCTATAAAAGGAGTAGGGTGGGAGCTTAGGACAGAATACTATAAAGGGTTGCTAATTGTTTTGGATGGTTTTGATTTTCGCGCAAAGCTACTCGTGGGGTATAGCCGTCCCTAATTTAACAGTGATAGACTAGAGGGAAGGCAGCTAGTAAACACCGCCCACCGTCAACTCCTGGGCTACTCTTTTACCAACAAATAGTGGGATTGAGCGGCACGTTATAACACCCCCCACGGATGAAAGGGCGAGTCCATGCCAGTCCAGGGATACTACTTTTGGAGGAAATAAGTGTCGAAGCCCTCCTCCCTGCCTACGCACAATTTAGGCATATCTCTTTAAATATTTAAATAAATTCATTTCAGTGAATTTGGAAAAGATATTTTAATAATTAAAATTACCGACATGTTTTTCGTACCGTTCACTACTGGTGGGGTCCACATATTGCATCATGTTGAGTAATTTTGCTTGTTACAGCACTCTGTATAAAGAACTGACCAAAAAGCATGGGGTGAAACCATTAATTATCTGTGTAACGTACACAGGAGGCCCACAGCAGTAATTAGTGGGATTAATGTCAATACTGACGATATTTTTGTTTGCATTTTTATGTGTGAGCTTTACGTTATTAGGGTCCTTGTAAACAATAGATATGTGGACCTACAAGTGCACAAACAGTATGGAAAAATCAATTTTTAAAAGCAGGTGGAATCCATATAGACCCCCCCAGCAGCAATTCTATAAATTGAATTATGTTAACCTTAATGTTGCATAAATTCGTAAGGCCCATTAAAATAATAAAAAGATATATTTTATTTTCTGCTACTCGTATTCTGAAGCTAGAAACCTAGAAGCGGTATTTTTATATGCATTCACAGAACAAACAAAACATGAACAAGAAACATTTCACTGTGACTGAGAACATTTTCCAAGAAACAATCACTTGCCGGGAAATACAAAACTTCCTTTGTTGCCATTCTTGTCAATATACTGATACAGTGTGATAAATGTT